GTATATGTATATATTCATATATATGTATGAATGTATATATATGTATATATGTATATATGTATATATGTATATATGTATATATATATATATATATATATATATATATATATATATATATATATGTGTGTGTGTGTGTGTGTGTGTGTGTGTGTGTGTGTGTGTGTGTGTGTGTGTGTGTGTGTGTGTGTGTGTGTGTGTGTGTGTATGTATGTATGTAATATATATAAAGACACACACATACTTTTTTACTCTTATCCATTTTGCTTCCTATAAGGTTATCATTTTTTCTCATCAGCCTAAGGTCGGAAATCTCATAGAACGTGTAGGCGCCCTAGCAACATAAAGGTTATTTTGGTCTTGTCAGGAAGCGTCAACGAGGAAGTGAATGGGGGGGAGGGGGTGGGGGAGGGGGATAGGTAGAAATATCGAAGGTCGCATCTGTCTTTCTACTTCTCTATCGATCTGGCTGTCCACCTGTCTATCTGTCTGTTGGCATATTTGATTGTGACCTTTTAGGCATGTGTGTATCGGTATCTGTCTGTCTATCTATCTCGTCTCTTTCTCTCCATGTGTCTGTCTCCATCTTTCTCACTTTATTCCTTTATGTATATTGTTCTCTTGTCTTTTTTATATGTCTGTCTACCTTTCGTTTCCTTTCCCTTGCTATCTATCCGCTAATCTCATTTCCTCCTTTCTTTTTGTTCGCGCTCTCCGACTCTCTCTTTCTGACTCTTTGCATCTGAATTTCCCTTTCTCTGCCTCTGTGTGTGTGTGTGTGTGTGTGTGTGTGTGTGTGTGTGTGTGTGTGTGTGTGTGTGTGTGTGTGTGTGTGTGTGTGTGTGTGTGTGTGTGTGTGTGTGTATGTGTGTGTGTGCGTGCGTGCGTGCGTGTGTGTGCGAATACGTGTGTGTGTGTGTGTGTTTGTACATGTATATGTTAATAATCATGCGTTTGCGTATGTGCGTGTCTGTGAATGCGAATGTGCGTGCGCTGCCCCAAGGCCTCTTGAATAGGAAGGAGAGAGTTTACGAAAAAAGTCGAGGGTATGGAAGGAAGGACGCTGATGCCCGGGCCTGGAACCTGTACCGCGCGCCCCTCGGCGGAGCAGGTACGCCGGGATGCTGGCTGACAAGGCGCGAGTGTCAGGGCCCGGCTCTCTCTGTGTCAGTTCTGTCTGTCTGTATGTATGTATGTATGTCTCTGTTTGTTGGTCTGTATGTATGTCTGTGTGTATGTGTGTCTGTGTTTGTTTCTCTTTCTTTTTTCTTTATTTGTCTCTCACATTCTGTCTGTTATCTATCTGTCAGTCTGTTTCTCTGCCTCTGTCTCTGTCTCTGTCTGTCTGTCTGTCTGTCTGTCTCTCTCTGTCTCTCTCTCTCTCTCTCTCTCTCTCTCTCTCTCTCTCTCTCTCTCTCTCTCTCTCTCTCTCTCTCTCTCTCTCTCTCTCTCTCTCTCTCTCTCTCTCTCTCTCTCTCTCTCTCTCTCTCTCTCTCTCTCCAGTTCTTGTAAGTTCTTTTTTTTACACCATCCTTGTTTTATCTCGTTTGTGTATATAAAAAATGAAGAGATCAAATCATGGAAGATTTTTTTTGTTGCCACATTAATACGCGGTGTTTTCACTTCGTCATCGTGTTCGGTTTCTCGCCTCTCTGTTGCTAACGGCTGCTGTCCGTATCCGAATTCGTGCGTTTTGGCTCGAACCGCTTTTCTATTTTTAATGAGTTTTCGTTATCTCCTATCTGTGTCGAAGGATATACTGTCATTGGAACTGATAACTCGAACTAGAACCTTCTCAAACTTTTTTTTTTCACAATTTCTCTCTTTCTGTTGATTCTGTTTAGCATCTTTATTTTTGTCCTTTCTTATTCTCTCATTGGCCGTTTTTCTTTTCTCTCTCTTTTCTCCCATTCGTATTCTTGTTTTGCTGTTTTTTCTTTTCTCTCTCTTTTCTCCCATTCGTATTCTTCTTCTGCGTTTTCGCCGTGTCGCTTGTTTTCTGTTCACTCACGTCCTCTGCCTGTTCCTCTTTTGCCTTCTTTTATCCTTCTCCCTTGTCCTCCGCCTCTCCTTCTTTTCTTTTCACTCGATATCCCTCTCCTTCATTTCTTCACACACTCGTCGCTATCTTATCGGCCTAATCGCCACGAGGAGGACTTGGAGTGCTTAACCCTCCGTCATGGGAGTCACGTGGCACTCAGAGGCCACATGGCACTCAAAGGTCACATGAAACTCAGAGGCCACATGGCACTCAAAGGTCACATGAAACTCAGAGGCCACATGGCACTCAAAGGTCACATGACACTCAGAGCCACATGGTACTCAAAGGTCACATGACACTCAGAGGCCACATGGCACTCAAAGGTCACATGACACTCAGAGGCCACATGGCACTCAAAGGTCACATGACACGTAGAGGCCACATGGCACTTAAAGATTATATGGCACATAGAAGTGAAATGACACATAACCCTATGGAGGTCGCATAACATACAGAGGTGACATGGAACTCAAAGTTTGCATGACAAGCTAATGTCACTTGGCCGAGGAGTGCACACACACGCACACACGCGCATGCACACACGCACGAACAGAGAGAGAGAGAGAGAGAGAGAGAGAGAGAGAGAGAGAGAGAGAGAGAGAGAGAGAGAGAGAGAGAGAGAGAGAGAGAGAGAGAGAGAGATGGGGGGGGTGAGAGGAGAGAGGAGAGAAGAGAGAGGGGGAAGAGGGCATAAAGAAGGGAGAAGAGAGCAAAGAGAGAGGAGAGATAGAGAGTTCACATCTTATGCGTAGGAGCGGACACGAGGGCCGGACACGTGACGGCTGCTCATCGTTCAATATTTGCACTTTTGTTCACTCACTTGTTCACCCCTCTGCTCGATTCTAGTTAATGTTCATTCACTAATTTTATTTTATTTTTTGTCTATTCCCTTGTTTGGTCGCTCGCGTGTGCCCTTTCCCTTATTCCTTCCTGCACCTGTTCCAGTGTTCATCCATTCTGTTTTTTCCCATTATTTCTTTTCTAGTCCATTCCTCTCTCCATTCCCTCGTTCATACCCCATTTCATTCCCTTGTTCCTTATTCCCATATTCATCCATGTATTCGTCCATTCCCCCAAATTATTCCCTCATTTCTTACTTATATATTTAGCTATGCACTTTCCTTCCCATATTCCCTGGTCAGATTTTTTCCCATTCATCCACTCCCTTGTCCGATTCCGTGTTCATTGTGCGTTGTGTTCACGGGGCGCTTTGCCTCTTGATGGCTGTTGTTTTGGTCGGTCCAGCAAAAAGGCTGACGGAGCTAAACAACAGGATATAGATAAACCAGAAATTTATGCTCAGTGACACCCACTCGATTCGGGTGCGACGAGGTCAGTGTTCGTTGGGGAGAAGGGGGATGGGGAGGGGAGGGGGAGGGGAGGTGGAGAAATGGGGGAATCTAATCTTTCTTATATTTTTTCTCTCGGTTATCTTCTTTGTTTGTCTTTATCTCTCTCTCTCTCTCTCTCTCTCTCTCTCTCTCTCTCTCTCTCTCTCTCTCTCTCTCTCTCTCTCTCTCCTTCTCTCACTTTCTCTCTCTCTTTCTCTCTCTCTTTCTCTCTCTCTTTCTCTCTCTCTTTCTCTCTCTCTTTCTCTCTCTCTCTCTCTCTCTCTCTCTCTCTCTCTCTCTCTCTCTCTCTCTCTCTCTCTCTCTCTCTCTCTCTCTCTGTATGTATGTATATATTAATTAATTAATCATATTCATGTATATAATATATATATATATATATATATATATATATATATATATATATATATATATATATATATATATATATATATATATATATTATATGCATGTATGTATATATGTATGTATATTTGATATATATCTGTGTTTGCTTAGAGATATATATGTGTATCTTATCTATTTATGTATGTACTGTATGTACGCCCTTATGTCTCAATCTTGGGTCATTATATTACCTTAAACTTACCTAACCTAAAATACCCAGCGTGAACGCCTTCCAAGAGATGATATCCGCAAATCTCGACTCCCAAAGTGATAAGACGCGATGCTGGACGATAAGAGCGACTCAACGAAGTTCGGAGAGAGAGCGCCCTGTGGCTCCTTCGGGCGGGTTTTGTGCCACGTGTAAGGCATGCGAGAATTAACTGTTTATATTGATCCATGTGTTAAGAAATGAGCTGTGCCGGGCACAGGGGGGGGGGGGGTGAGGTGTGGCAAAGCGAGGACGGGGGGGGGGGGGGGACAGCGCTGAGGGTGCAGCCGCGACATGTCCATGCGCAACAATTGCACATGCAAACCCGAGGTCACACGCACACAACACCCAGTAGGCTCAAGGTCGGAGCTACGCCAAGCAGCCGGGCGAGGGGAGGCCGCGTGGCTTGTCCTTGTCATGCACCGATTCCTTGGTTTTGTTGTCTATCTGTCTATCACTCCATTTACCCTCTCTCTCTATTTACCTACCTATTGATTAATTTTTCAATCAATCAGTCCTTCTGTCTGCTTAGCTATACATCTGTCTATTTATATATATAGTTAGGTAGGTAGAGAGAGAGAGAGATATTCGCCCTATAGCAGCTGGTGTTTTTCTTGTAGTTATCGGCTCAAACTGGTTTAGAGTGATTACAAGCAGATATGTGGAGATATGGGCTACACTTCACTGCTGCAGAGAATTGCAAGGCAGATGTAGTTTCGCTTGGCAACAGCGCATTTCCTCGAAGTTATTGTGTTTATCATATTGCATTGTGAGGTCACCCACATGCTCCCATGGGCATATGCTGTTGCCTTCCTGATCTACACAGTTGCAAGACAGTTACTTTACTTGTTTGGAAACTACATGCATTGGCGCAGATGTCCTTCGTCACGACAGATTTCCGTATATGTAATATAGTATTATCTACGACGTATACAAGTTTGCTATTAAATGAAGGTTCAGCGTCTATTTTCGGTGATCCTCAGAATACTACAAATACTAATGTAAATATAAACGCACGTGGCGCAAAGTGACCATGTTATATGTTTTATGCATACCATTGAATGTCGGGATCCATAAGCATGGTCCTGCTGGTCGTCTAGCATGTAACAGGCAAACGGTGCATACATATTTAGATTACTTCTTGCTAGGAACTCGCATTATCAGAGCGTCCTGCAGGGAGAACACGACTGGCGTGCAATTCTCTGAGGTCCGATATTTGTAGTGTAGAGCAATCTACGGTTCACATAAATCAAGAACAAAAGAGTAGCATGTCGTAACCGCGAGAAGTAGGCGTGGTTGCTTGTTCTTGTGGGTTGATAAAACATGCAATGTTGGAGAAACTAAATACAGACTTTATTGTAAAGGATACAGGCGAACAGCTGTATACTTTATCACATGAGTGCCACTTGACACGGGTAAATCCTTGAAAAAAATATTGCGATTTGTTGACAAGGTAGTTCATCGAGTGTGGTAAGCCGATATCTTGAAACTGTGAATGATCTCTGAGAAAGATTATATTGGTGTCGAACTATATAGAGGTTGGCAACAATCATTATACCGCGTTTTTCTAAGTTGGCAGCCCTGAGCGACAGTGCGGCCGGCCTAGGCCTGGAGGCCGCCATGTTGAAGTTGTCTACTAAAGGAAATACTCACATGCAGATAATGAACAGTTTCGTCCTCCAGGTCAAATAATTTGCTACACAACCTGCTGTTCTGTATCTAGCAGTAGTTGAGATTTAACCACCTGATGACACGATAATCCTTAATCAATGTTTGTAATTGCACATGGGAAATTAGTTCAGAACATGTCAAATGATGACTTCATATTGACGTTGTTGAATATGTTAGTAACACACATTTTGCTTTTTGAAACTCTAACAACTAATTTTCCCAATACTATCAGTGCCATCGCATGGACGAATGTGTGCGACCTAGTTTATGGCTGACCTGAGGATGGAATCCAGGTGGATTCCGAAACTGTTGTCTCATTTTTAATAAATCTAGTTTTTACAATGTGGGTTTTTCTACCACAGTATCAACACGGTAGTGTTTTCATCATTCACTTATTACCATATATCAAATTCATAAGTCTAGTCACACTTACGCAGTCAGCTAGGATGCTTAATAAGGGACTAAACCTAAAACAACGGAGGGTCAGAGTAGATGAACTCTTACCACCGACTCAGCAATAGTATTTAGAAAGGATAGGCATACTCTCGTCAGCAGAATCCTTCGTTTGCCAGGGTGTTATCGTCCGTGACTGTGGTCTGTGACATGCCCTGGTAACAAGTGTACTTCTCAGTTCCAGAAAGGCTCCAAGATGTCCCTTGCGAGGAGTCTCCTGCTTCTGCGGCGCGTGGCGGTGCCTGCCCTGCAGCCTTCCCGCGGCCTCCACGTCAGAGGTCAGTCCACTTATCTCGTCTGCTTGCCTTATTTGCCTTCGTCGTACCTGCTTGCACTCCTTATCCTATCTGTATAAATTCAGATTTTCATGAAAAGGGACTCATATTCGTTATCATCATTTCCTAATATGCCTACCTGATATGTCATGTCATGCTTCCATGCGTCGGCCCCCAGGTAAGGCGACGATGGTGTCTGCCGCCATGCGCGCCGACCTGGCCAGCCCCCCCGCCATCCAGTCCGCTCTCCCCGCGCAGCACCTCACCGCCAAGGTCATGTTCGACGACCACACCTACGCCGACTTCAAGTACATTTGGGTGAGTGTTTCGGCGTGCTCGTGTCCGTGTGCATGTCTGTCTGTCATTCTGTCTATCTACCTGTGTATCTATCCATTTATCTATCCACCCATCTATCTGCCCGTCTGTCTGTCTGCCTACATCCCTATCTATCTATCTGTCTCGGAGACTCGTTTCGCGGAAGTGGTTCCCGGAACGGGGGTCGCCCCTGGGCTCCGCGGAGGTCATTCCGGGCGAGCCACGACCCGCGCGGCGTAGTTCGTTCTTGTAATTCTCGGAAAGCCGCGCCGCGTGGGAAGGGCAGAAGGGGACGCGGACCGAAAAGCTTTCCGGGTGATACTGAGCCTGAAGCTTCGTTCCTTCTGTTTACCCTAAACTCAGCGAAGATACGCTAAAGTATGGTATGCTGTGCTATGCTATACTAGTCTAGTCTAGTATAGTCTATGCTATGCTATGCTATGCTATGCTATGCTATGTTATGCTATGCTAACAAAAGCTAATCTAATCGGACGACAGCTTCTGAGAAACGAGTGTGTAGTACGTTAATTAATGTCTCAAGAGGTTTTCCCCGAATAGTACTAATATGAGTATTTTTTTTTTCTTTATAAAAGCGCAATATCCTGTTGTGTATTGTACTGACTATCCCTCAGCTGGTATGATAAGGTTTCTATAAAAAGGGTTTTACTTGTCAGTGCGTCATTTCGACTCCCAACCATATTCACTCTCCTTAAGATGTAGATTACCAAGTTAGTTGATCATTTGACTCGATGTCCCTTTGTTTGGGTTCGTGGCCTTATCTGTCGTATCTCCCTTAATAAACTGTGTAATCTGTCCGACAAGTTGTAATTTGTTCCAGCGTTCACCTTGTTGACCTTTATATTACAAGGAAAGTGATACCAGTGGAAATTGTAACATTTGGTTTTACGTTGTTAATAAAAGTTCGTGCAAATCTCCCAGTTTTATTTAATGATGATGGATATAGATATGTTTATCGTTACAGCCCCCACACGCTTACAGCGCTTGTGTTAATGCGTATTTATTATGTGCAGAAGCTGTTAGAGTCGTAGATATTTAGTCTGGTTAACAGTTCCGTTTCACAAAGCCAAGCCTGGATTGAGACATAACTTCAGAATCACGACTTTCATTACTGTATTGGTAAAACTTATAGTTCGAATCTAAGTAATTATCGAGGCAAGTTCACGCGCAACTTGTATTTGTATGAATGACATCGCGCCCACCGATCGAGACGCGCCATTGGCTTGGAAGTAGAGCTTGAAATAACTGTTTATGGCGAGTTCAATAGTTCTTCCGTTTTTTACTCTTAGTGTCCCTTAAGTCCTGTTTCCCCCTTTGTGTGCCTGTCTCTTAACTCTTGGTTGGGGCCTCGCCATATCCGGTCTTACAATAAGCATTCCACTCTTTCAGAAGCAGACTCCAGCCCCACAAACATTCCGTTGAGTCTAATATATTTCCCAGAGTAACTTGCCACGGTATCACTGAGTAACTTTCCCTCCCTCCCCCCCACCCCACAATAACCACCGGATAGCCTCCCCTCTTCCCCACAGCAAGCCTCCCATAGCACCACCGAATAACTTCCCCTCCGCCCCTCTCCCCCAGCAGCGCCACCGAATATTTCTCCCTGTCCCCTTTCCCTACAGAGTGCCACCGACTAACCTCCCCTCTGTCCCTCTCCCCTCCAGCTGCGGGACAACTGCCAGTGCCCGAAGTGCATCGACGCAAGCACCAAGCAAAAGCTGGTGGACACGCCCAACCTCGATGTCAACCTAAAGCCTCTTTCGCTCACCATCAATGGGGAGGGAAAGCTGGCGATCTCGTGGGCGGAGGCCGACGGGAGCGAGCACATCTCCGTCTACGACCCTGCCTGGTAAGCGACACGCCCCTCTCTTCTTCTTTCGCTCTTTATTTGTGTGCCTGTCTGCGCGTCTGTCCGTCTGACTCTTTAACTCTCTATAACTCTCTTTCTCTTTCTCTCCCTCTCCCTCTCCCTCTCCCTCTCCCTCTCCCTCTCCCTCTCTCTCTCTCTCTCTCTCTCTCTCTCTCTCTCTCTCTCTCTCTCTCTCTCTCTCTCTCGCTCTCTTGTTTTCTTACTTTAGTCAAAGGCCTTGCATTTCATAATATCTCGTTGCTGTATCATTTTTTTATCCCTCGTATCCTCTATCTTATCCATTTTAATTAATTCCAACGGTACTCTACGCTCCCTCTTTATCTCCTACTTGTATTTATTCCCTTCTATCTCGTTTCCCTTATCTTTACGCACACTTACCTGCAGCTGATTTATGATCCTGTTTGACCTTGCCCTTTCTTCCTTCCTCCTCGCTTCCATTAGGCCCAGCTCAAGCCTACGGGCCTGAAATGCTGCCCTTCCTTGATTAAAGAGGTCCTAGAACCAAATTGTCTGAGTAATGACTCGAGAAAATGTTTATGGTCCTTTACTAATGTTCCTTTTTGACCGCACCGTTACTGATGGATTTTACTGCATGTCCGCGGAGGATTTGTTTGTTTTGGAAGACTGGAAATTAAATATAAAGTTTTATAATGCTACATTAAAAAAAAAAAAAATATTCGGACGTATAATCTTTCTTCATTAGATTAGATTCTATGTTACTCCGCACAGAAAACTAAGATGACATCATATAGTATAACGATTATAAGACACGATTTAGCCCATACCACATACGCGCAAACATCCATAACCCCACAAAAAATCAATTATCCTTACCCCCCCCTCCTTCTCCTCCACACCTCCCTTGACCCCCTCCTCCTCCTCCTCCTCCTCCAGGCTCTTCAAGTACGGCCAGTCCTTCATGCACAACAACTTCGCGAGTGACACCGTCGACATGGATCTTCTGCCGCAGCGTCCTGAGATGGAACTGTGGGACCGAACCTCCATCTGGGCCTCCTTCCCCGAACTCTCCTACAACGAGTTCATGGAGACGGAATCCGGACTCGGAGTCTGGCTGGACATGTTCTACAGGGTGAGGAAAGGGAGGGAGAGGAGGAGGAGAGGCGGCGAGGAATGGTGGAGGAGCGAGAGCGGGAGAGGCTATGAAAGAGGGAGAGAGGGGGAGGGAGAGGGATAGGGATAGGGAAAGAGAAAGGGAGGGGAGAGGAGAGGAGAGGGAAAGGGATAGGGATAGGGATGGGGATAGGGATGGGGATAGGGAGAGGGATAGGGAGAGGGATAAGGAGAGGGAGAGGGATAGGGATAGGGATAGGGATAGGGATAGGGAGATAGATAGATAGATAGAGAGAGAGAGAGAGAGAGAGAGAGAGAGAGAGAGAGAGAGAGGAGAGAGAGAAAGAGAGAGAGAGAGAGAGAGAGAGAGAGAGAGAGAGGAGAGAGAGAGAGAGAGAGAGAGAGAGAGAGAGAGAGAGAGAGAAAGAAAGAAAGAAAGAAAGAAAGAGAGAGAGAGAGAGAGAGAGAGAGAGAGAGAGAGAGAGAGAGAGAGAGAGATGATAGCCATTGATCGAAGGGGAAGGATTAAGAGCAAAAGATAATCAGATCAAATGGAAGGTATGTACGCGTCCGAGGAAGGAAAATATGCTGTTAACTGAAAAGGATGGAGAGTCCGTGAGGATGCTGGCCAGGTTGAGGAGTCGGAGAGGAGAGGACAAGGAAGGAAAAGCGAGGGTATGGGCTTAAGTAAAGCAAAGGCAAGATAGGATATGTGGAACTGAAAGAGCAAGAGAAAGAGCTTGGTGAGTCGTGGACAAGGGGGCAGATCGTGCCAACGCATCTGCTTGTTCACTGGCGGTGATCCCAACATGGCTGGGTATCAAGCAAAACTTTCCTGCTTTCTTTTGTGTAACTGGCCTTGTATCCTATAGGGTGTATGAATTATGTGAGTGATATTCAGTTGCAGGAGTCAGTGTAGATGGTGAAGGATGAGGAAGAAAGACCTGCATCATAAAACAAAGAGGATAACATAAAGTTCTGTTGTAAGGACTCTCGATTCAGGGGAAAGGGGGAAGTTGTATGTATGGGAAAACGAGAGAGAGAGAGAGAGAGAGAGAGAGAGAGAGAGAGAGAGAGAGAGAGAGAGAGAGAGAGAGAGAGAGAGAGAGAGAGAGAGAGAGAGAGAGAGAATGAGAGAGAGAGAGAGAGAGAGAGAGAGAGAGAGAGAGAGAGAGAGAGAGAGAGAGAGAGAGAGAGAGAAAGAAAGAAAGAAAGAAAGAAAGAAAGAAAGAGAGAGAGAGAGAGAGAGAGAGAGAGAGAGAGAGAGAGAGAGAGAGAGAGAGAGAGAGAGAGAGAGAGAGAGAGAGAGAGAGAGAGAGAGAGAGAGAGAGAGAGAGAGAGAGAGAGAGAGAGAGAGAGAGAGAGAAAGAAAGAAAGAAAGAAAGAAAGAAAGAAAGAAAGAAAGAAGAGAGAGAGAGAGAGAGAGAGAGAGAGAGAGAGAGAGAGAGAGAGAGAAAGAAAGAAAGAAAGAAAGAAAGAAAGAAAGAAAGAAAGAAAGAAAGAAAGAAAGAGAGAGAGAGAGAGAGAGAGAGAGAGAGAGAGAGAGAGAGAGAGAGAGAAAGAAAGAAAGAAAGAAAGAAAGAAAGAAAGAAAGAAAAGAGAGAGAGAGAGAGAGAGAGAGAGAGAGAGAGAGAGAGAGAGAGAGAGAGAGAGAGAGAGAGAGAGAGAGAGAGAGAGAGAGAGAGAGAGAGAGAGAGAGAGAGAAGGTGACCTTCACAAATGAGTCTTAAGGAACTCAGTTTCCTGCAGAGATAAGAATTGGACCCAGTGCTGCATCAACATGTTTACATGTCATGTTTACCCATGTCATGATTTTCTTATCATCCAAGCTGTTTTATGAAAGATAAGAGTACTTGTAACAAATACTTATCCTTGTCTCACTTTCTGTATGTTTGATAATGCAATGTTGATAAGGAAATGTTTTCTATTGGACAGGAAGATGCACTATCACCATTATCTTCTAAAACTAGAATAAAATGATAATAGGTAATTCTTAGATTGTTCTATTTTTTAATCAGTGGGTTCTTGACTTCCCTGCAAAATGTCTCCTGAACTCAACTGCTCAGTGACCATTTCTCTGACCTTTGCAACCTGATCTTACAGTATGGCGTGGCTGTGCTCCGTGGTGTGCCAACAGAGGTCAACAAGATTGTGGACGTGGTGAAGCGGTTTGCCTATGTGAAGGAGACACAGTATGGCACCACCTTTGATGTGATCAACAAGCCAGTGGAGGGCGCACATTTGGCCTACACTGGTGTGGCGCTGTCCCATCACACTGACATGAACTACAGGGAAAAGTCCCCTGGAATGCAGCTGCTTCATTGCCTCAAGGTGTGCTGGATACTCTTATCTTGTGCTTAAGTGCAGTTTTGCCTACTTTTAATTGTAGCAAAGAATCTTTGAATTTTATGTCCCCATTTCCTTCTCACTTTCTCTTTTTTCTCTTGCAGGCCAATGACCCCAAGTTGACGGGTGAAGACCCTGGTGGCCGCTCCTTCTTTGCTGACGGCTTCCGGATTGCCAGGTGGCTCGAAGAAAATGAACCAGCTGCCTACCATATCCTCACCTCCACTCCAGTCAGGTACCTGCCTTCACCTCATAACCATCTCAAATGGATCTAATTTTGCAAGGGCAAAAAAGAGCAACTGGAAGGGAAAATGAAAGAAAGTTGGTCATAGAAAGTAGGTGAGCCACCCCCCAACTAAAGCACTAACTGACTTTTTCCATTGTCTCTTGCAGGTTCTCCATCAAGAATGAAGGCAAGCAGTACTCTGCCCTCTGGCCTATTCTGTGCACCAACACTGACGGTGATGTCACAGAGGTCCACTACAACAATCGCACCATGAAGCCCCTGCAGGCTCCCACCCATGTGGTCACTCCCTTCTACCAGGCTTACAGGGTAAGTACCCATTAAAGGTAACTAAAGATCCAGTACTACATTTTTAAAGAGGCAAGCTTTGTCACTAATAACCTTCAGCATTAGTATAGTGCAAAATTATAACAGCGGCACATAAATTATTGCCACAGTAATGCCCTATCATAGCAGAAGTTATATCTTTTAAAGAAACGGAATTGGATACTTTTCCAGAATTTTGATGGTTTATTTATGAACATTTATACAGTATTAAATTTTCACAATATTATTGAGTGACATAAGAGATGTGGAAAGTTTATTATGAGTAGTCTGTAACACTATAGCTTTATAATGCCAAAGATAAATATTCACAATATTATTGAGTTTGTTAAGGAAGGCTTTCTCATGGCCATCCTCATCAATATTGGTCAACTCTAGTTCCAAGCTGTGACATAGCTTGACCTTCCCGCAGCTGTTCTCGGAGCGCCTGCGTGACCCTGCCATGGGATTGGAGTTCAACATGGTACCAGGTGACCTTGTGGCGTTCAACAACCGCAGAGTTCTCCATGGCCGAACTGCCTTTGATGCCTCTAAAGTTGACAGGTGAGGGAGACAGAGAATAGACCATAATGGATGACCATAAAAAAGCATTTTAGCTGCAACTCATTTACAGTTCAGAAAATTTGGATTGTTGACTATTTGTTCAGCTACAGTCTTATTCTAGAAATTACCCTCCCCGACCATAGGGAAATAGCAGAAGAAGTCTCATTCTAGGAATAAATCTTATTTCAGCAGATCTTGGTTCAAGTATCGCTTGTACAATTAGTTGTATGTCTTAAAAAAAAAAAGTTCTATATTATGCTGATTACAAGTGAAAATTATTAACTTCAACCCATTCTTTCTCTGACAGACATCTTCAGGGATGTTATGTCGACATTGATGAGGCCTTCGCGAAATATGATAGCCTTCGCTCAAAGTACGTTCCATCTGTTTTTTTTTGGGGGGAAGATGAATTAATATTGCAAACCAAATACTGAAAAAATCATTATGTATGCTGATGGGTTTAGCTTTTAGAGAATTGATGCAGCATATGGGGCCATATTTTTAACATGTTTATTTTTATTATAATCATTATCATTTATTGCCATTGCTATTTTTGTTTGTTTGTTTGTGGTGCACTGGGATTGGCATTATCTCCAAGATCTTAGGATGAATTTGTATTTTGTTAACACATTTTATTGCATGTGATTTTGTAAAATCCTGTTTGCAGATGTTTGCCTTCCAGCAGGTTCATTGGATCAAATGAAATTAGTTGTAGGTTGTGTTCTAAATCCATTTAGAAAATAATCACTGATATGTCTGCTTTGCATTTATTCATTTTTGTTGCACCATAAAAAATATATGAAGAGTGATGGCACAAATATGCACTGCATTCTGTCTTTTTTTCTGGCAGCTGTACTGAACTGACTAAAACTTAAATGGATAAGAATAACGAACTGTGTGTTTTTTCTCATTCATTTCAGGAAATGAGCACCTCTTCCTGGGTCCTCTAATCTACAGGATGCACCTTAGTCAGAAGCCGACACTCTCAGTCACCTCACTCTCACCTCATGTAGTGGCTCTCAAAAGTGGAATCTTAATTTGGCTTGGGACTCATAGTCAATTGTTCACTCTTTGAACATAATTTAAGAGTCAAATTTCAAAGAATTCAATAATTTTTCAAAAGGAGACCAGTTTTGAGTTCACACTAATTATCTTTCTGAGCTCATGCTTTATCAGTATCAGGACATATATCCTGTTTTTCTATCAGGGTGCATGTCCCATTTGTGTTATAAAAAAACAAAATAGAAAAACACAGATGTAAAAAAAAGAAAAAGAAAAAGAATACTGATAGAGTAATAAGCTCAGAACATCCCCATATTTCTTTCTTTTTGTATTCTGGGAAAAGTGGTTCATTTGCTTCTCAGGTCATTGACTGTGCATAAAAATTGACACTATCCAGAAAACAAGCTTCACTAGTACAAATTTATATTTAATTGAAGTGAAGTACATTGCCAAAATATGTAGAAAGATAAAAATTGTAATGGGGAAGAGATAACTCAAAGAAGCAAAAGAACTTCTTACCAGTTATATTTTCAGCTTTGCAGCAACACAAACTATCCAGGTGAGTTTAGGTCATAGGATGCGGGTGATGATTTTGGGATCACAGTTTCGGGGATGTCCCAGTATTAGAATTTCAACACCTATTTTCAACCTCTCTTGGAGTGTGAACACTTTAGTTTAGTTGTGACACTGTTAAGAGAGACAATTTAAAAACTCTTTGGAATGTTTCATCATTTGGATCAGAAACAAAGATGTAAATGTGTCCTTTGGGTATTTGTCATAAAATTGTCTTTGTCCTTGCTTCTTTACAGAAGTGGCTTTTTACAAAAGAGGAAAGAGTTAAGATTAATTCCTGGTAGACAGAATTTACATCTTGTTTCTCATCATCATCATCATAATCACCATCATCAAATGAACCTACACTTTTTCCAGCAATCTTTTCTCCAAGATTCTTTTAATTCCTGACACCATGAACTGCATGTATAACAACTGTCTAATGTTCCTTTTTTCAACTTCAGGTTTCACCAGAACTGAGTGCATAGTCAAGAGGAAGAAGGAGGGGGAGGGGAAGGAAGAGCAGTGAAAAGGGAAGAAGGGGAGAAGGATACAGTAAGGAGGGAGGAAGGGGAGAAGAATAAGCAGTGAGAAGGGAGGAGGAGGAGCGGTGAGAAGGGAAAAGAAGGATAAGAAGTGAAGAGGAAGGATATGAAGGATAAACAGTGTAAAGAAAGAGCAGTGAGGAGAAAGGAAGAGGAGTAGAAGCAATGATAAAACTGTTATAATATGTCTTTCATCGCTCCTTTTTGCGTGCAATATAAGGAACAATAGGAAGTTTGTGACTTAGTTTTAGTCTTATGATATCTGTATTGCAAATCATGTATTAGCTGTGCATATACAGCCTCATGGTGGATTGTTCAAGGGAAATGATTTTGAGCAAGGCTTTTCACTTTAGAAAATTATTTTGTATCTTAAGTTCATTCATTCCATAGTTTATCAATATCAGTCATTCCATTGATTCATATAACCATTTTTATAAAATTTTCAAAGTGACTTGCATTTCTAAAACAAGGTAAAAATTGGCGATAATTCATATATGATGGCAGATATTAGCAAAAGCTCCCAAATGTATATTTATTTATAGGTGAAATTTCTGATTTAGATCTGTATCAGGTAAAATAGGTGTACATGTATCTATTTTATAAGATTTTTTTTATATATATAAATCAAATTTATATGTAAGGCTTTGTGGAATATCAAGCCTCTGTATAAAGTATGAGCTGTGTCACTTATTTGTTATACTGTTTAATTTTGTATTGGATATGAAATATTTTGCATAAATACTGATTTACACAGTAATTTACAATATGACAAATATTTATGATATTGAAATCCTTTGCTATTATTTAAGAAAAGGGTGATTCATAATGTATGTGCAGCTCTTTCTCTTATTCAGTTATTTTATTAATCCCTGAAAGAAAGTCATGTATGTTAAAATATGATTATCACAGATTATTCTTCGATGAATGAGATGTATTTCTCTGATGCTAAAACCATACTGTATTGTTCTATATACTGGCTATCTGCAGCATTAAAATTTAATGCTGGATGGTCAGAAAATGCAGTTATGTTTTGTAAAGTTTGAATAATTTAAGCTGAGGGATATTTTCAGTGATATAATGTTGATAGCATGTACCAATGCAACAATGCAATGCAAACAAGTACAGTCTTAAAGGGTTTTGGTAACATTTATTATTAAGACTGTTAAACTTCTATATTTAATGAAGTATAACATATCCTCTCTAAATGTTTCAATACACCTACTGTATTACTGACTGTGGAAAAGGGAAAGCTTCTATGCGGTAGCTGGACCCTCTAAAAAGATTGAGGCCAAACATCCCACAGTTAACCATAAGTTTAACCTTTGTGGTATTTTGAAGACTCTATGGAGTTCCCTGAGAACCACATCAGGGGAGATGCACACTTATGCGTCACTACCATTTTTTTAAAAAATATAATGAACTGGCCACTACATCCCACCAAGTACTACTAGCCAGAAACTTTGAAAAATGGTGTTGGTGTTGCTCTACTTGCAACACAGACATTACTTCTGCACAGCCCAGTAGTGGCTATATGTCTGCAACTCTGAACATCACAACACACAATGATGATGGCAATGACTGAGGTCATTGCCATCATCTCCACCTCCACCAAATATGACATACACAAGACAGGCAACACATTACTAAATATACAGTTCATTTATCACCAACATGTACAACTGAAACATCATGCACACATGTCATTCAAGTACCAGAAAGAAGAGAAAAATATACAAACATTGGGCTTTACTATGGCAAGACAAAGAATAATACATTCTTACACTCTATTGCACAATCTCACAGAACTACTTGCTGTTGAGACCAGAGCACAGAGCAATGACACAATCATCAAAACTGCATCTCATGAGAACGCACACCAGAATTAGCAAAGGATTATGTTCCAAACTTACACCATATCACATATATCACCCTGGGAAGAACATTCACTACCAAATACACAAACTTGTACTACAAATACTGTAAGAGCATAACAACATTGATAATAATTTAGGGTCAACAGACAAAGTTCCTGTGACCAGTAAATTTACATCGGTCTATTATCCTTACATTATTACACTCTTACACACTTGAACAATCAACAGACAATAACATGACATCACATTTTGGTGAAAGTGACTGCCAACCCGCTCAATAAATGAAAGCTTAAGGACGCCCAAGAATACCAATTTCTTATGATGAAATATCTGTTTATAACAAAAATACAAATTACTGTAATGTCAAATAGGTGCCTTCTTATGTTTCTCACTTTTGATTCAGCCAATATGAAAAAGGCATTTTAAAAATATGAATAAAAGATAAGAAAATAAAAGATATTATACCTGGTAAACACTTTATTTTCTCCATGATATGAATGTGCTCCTTAATAAAGAACTAAAATAGTTTTCATGAAAATATACTATGTAGAAGAAAATTAGAGTTATCCAGAAAATGTTACTGGGATAAAATATACTTAGTTTCAAGTTCTTTCTTTGATAAGACAAGCATTTAGGGTAACAAAAATCCTTCTAGTAAGGGAGTTTATGTTGTTCTCATTCACTATTTCTTTGGAAAGGTAATGTAATAAATTAAAAGTTCATGTTCATATAATGAATAAAAAGTCACATCAAGCTGAAATTATCATTCTGTATTCACTGAATGAATACTGTCTGTTTATTTAAATAATGACATTAACACACCTATTCATTAGAAAAGTATACACAGGTACAAATAATTCATATTAATAAATAAACCATAAACTCATAAATCCATAAATAAAAAACTAAAACAATATGTACAACATTAAATAATCTTAGAAAACCTCTATTTTGTTTTCTCATATACAGATGCAAAATTCTTAATTATCTTTAATTCAAGCAACCATCTAGGACCATATTCAATTATTGAAATAACTATGGAGAGGATTCTTGGATCCGGAGAGCTGATTGGGAGATAATTTAATATCACCCATATGTGATCATGACTCATTATTCAGAAAAAAAGAAGAAAAAAAAGAAAAAAATTGCCATTCTTGTCATACAATGCTTGACAGATTATGGAGGCCGCTGCCTCTGAACTGACTATTTCCTGTTTTTCATTACTGGAAAAATTTAGGGAACAAACTGAATCTTTATTGTGTATAGCATCAGGCAATATTGGAACCCACAATTAAACCCCCTTGAGCCTATTTGAGTGCCACAAGATGACCTTAATGATGCTAATTCTCAACTGGCTTTGTGAGGATTGATTCATGGTTGATTTCATTTCACTGTAATTCAACAGAAAATGAATTATATTTGTATCTTTGAATCTAAAGGTGTCTGGTATTTGTTTAATAATCACTGTGTCATTCTCTGGTTATGATGACTGCCTGAATTCAATCTGAGATCCTTGCAGTCTCCATCATTCTTCAGGCTATCAGACAATAAGTTAGTGTGTCAAATGGCATTTGTTTCAGCATTTCATTTCAAGTATATTTTTATCAGGTCTTTTCCCATGCCCATGCATATGATAACAGCTTGATGATTTCCTTCTGAAAATCTCTCATTGCTGATATCAAGACATGGCATGAGTCACTGTCTTGCAAGCCAGAAAAGACATATAACTGGAACACTGAGACTTATGTCATATCAACTCACTGATATAGCAGGGGCAATATACATGTCATATAATCTGTGGCTTTAATTTATGAGTTTTGTTTTTTACATTGCTGGTGCCACCATCATTTAGTCAACAAGGAGTCCTTGAATTGTTAGGATTTTTTTTTCTAATTTCAAATCTCATTATAATAATTGTCATTATATCACTACCATTATCATTACTGATATTGTGGTATAATAATGTTTATAACAATACAAATAAGTTCAATTTTAAGTTGCTGGGCTAAGCAGCATAAGCCACTAATACGGCTCTTGCTGACACTTACACCAAGTAACCAAGTAAATGATAGCAATAAGAAAAAGAAAAATATACACATTTCCAAAAAATCAAGGAAAGGAAAAGGGTAAGCAGGTGAGATCATTTAGATGTAGTAATTGACTACTTAGTGACAAAACTCTTGTGGAGCCATCTTTGCAAAACAATATTGATAATGTACATTCTCATCTATTTCTATTTATTTATTGAAAATTAATTGTCAGCACCAATGTCACCTTATCACCAGTCATCACTATTCTGTCAACTGCATTCTTGCCTCAGTAAAAGAAATGGAGAGCAGTTGTAACAGTTATATTTATTCTATAGCAACTTAGTCAAATAATATGGAGGAGTTACTTATTCAAGTAAAAGTGTTTTTATCATGTTTGTATAGTAATAATTTATTCTCACTTACTGTTTATTCTTAATATTTTGTTCTTGTTTCTAAGAATACATTAATGTCACCTGTAGTCTACACACTTGTGACAGAAAGGGTAACAAATCACACTTGCATTCCAACACTTTCACATAAAATACTATGTTGATTTAGTTTATATACTGCCATAGATCAGTGAGGCTATTACTGAAATAACAAGAGAAACTGACTCTCTGCTTGCTCTTATAAGGCTTTATGTTGAATAGGGCAGTTTTACTAGTGTTTCACAGTTGCCTTAATTTCATCCTTATTCATGATCTTTTACAAATATAATATTCATACATATAAATTAAATTATATATGAGTATTTGTAATAATAAAATATAGAACTATGGTATGATTATGATATCATATGAAAACATACCCATAAATATTTTAAAGGGATTAAAAGAATTACATACCCACGATATGTAGAGTACATCACAGAATACCTGTTTGTGTCTACATATCAGGGTTGTTGCTCTTAGGAGCATCTCTTGTTGACTGATTCATGTACAATGATCACACAAACACACACACACACATACACACACATACACACACACACACACACACACACACACACACACACACACACACACACACACACACACACACACACACACACACACACACACACACACACACACACACACACACTAAAAATAGGTAAATATGGAGCAGTGAAAAACAAAGAGGCACGAGATGTAATTCTAGTATACATAATCAGGTTTTATTAATATGCTATGTACAATCTCTAAATTATTATTTGAAGCAGTAAAAAAGTAATAGTAAGACAAATGGCAACTTGGTAGTGGCAACTGATGAGGATTTTATTTTGGCTGGCAGGTTACATGATTATACTATTAATATTTTTTATTAGACATAACTGGATAGCATTTATGACATACCCCAAACACATGAAATACATGAGTAGGAAAATCACCCTGCTGCATGTGCTGATACAAATTCCAACTAGCATCATAACAATCTAGAAAAGGTTTGAAATCCCTTTTAATTTTTCACAACCAAAATTTACCCTATACACTTTTGTCATTCATTCACCTGGAAGTTTATACTGAGTTGGAATCATAGCAAAAAAAATATATATATAATTTTCAAATTCAAAATCATATTCTATAGGTACAGACTATAAAACATTAACTAGTTGTAAGTATAAAAATAAAGAATATACATCAACACATTTATAAAATATCTCTAAATTGGCTTCTAAAACAGATCTTTAAGATCACAGATATTATGCTTCTTCCTTTTGATTCTTTCTTAAAGCACAAAGTTTTTTAATACAAACAGATAAAAAAGAGAAAGCATGTCCTGGTGGCTTTCACTGGAAATAAGCATAAAAATAATAAATAATACAATAAAATAATACAACAGAAGAAAGCTCTGGTTGGGGAATGATGATAGAAGTAATAGCAGTGATAGCTAATATAATTATAACTCCAAGAAGAATAGTAAAAACAGTGGCAATAAAACTTTCTTTAAGTGTCACTGACAAGTATCAGGGCTTCAGTTAGACAAAATATCCCGAACAATACTATTACGCTGCCGTTTCAAACCGCAAGACTCTAATGCACGAAGGATGCCTGCAATAGGGTCTCCATCTAGGTTTCTATTGTATTCCTCCAGCAACTGAAAAAATGTTGAATTAAAAATTAGTATTGGAGATAATAATGCTATTAAAGTGTTGAAATTAGTAAGTCATATTTACTTGTTGATTCTTCACATCTACAAACAGTTTTCAACAGCCAGAATTATGGTAGTAGCATTGGAATGGTAATTTATAGGCAATCTTGACCTGGTAAGACCAGTATACACCATGGATTCAGGTTTTCCAGTGGTTGTAAGGTA